AAAGTCCAATCGGAACTAAAAATTCTTTGCGACAGCAATGGCAAGAATATAATCAACAATTCGACGCTTTGCTGACTCATCAACAATATGCAGTTTTAGATAAAATGCTGAGTCTGTTTCAAGAATCAACTATAATTGTGCAAAATCCGCAGATACAACACACAAGAGGATGTCCAGTTGGAGCAAGAAACGTTGTTCAATCATCTACTGAAAGAGATCTATTCGCCTTTGAGTTGACTGAACCAAACAAGTGTATCAGAAAATGTGATTTATGTCATGGAATTGAACATAACAGTAGAACATGTCCTAATATGGAGAGTACAATAAAAGGTAGTTAGATTTAGATAGAAGACGTAAAAGAAATCTTATTTGCGTAAATAATATTATTTAAAAACTTCTATTTGTGTGTCTTATTTGGCAGTCATTCATTTTTACAGTAAAAAGATTCTTTTTAATATCGATATTGGTGGGAAAAAAAATAATCATAATAATTTAATAGAACTTCTTCATGTGATGCAAATATTACATTCGAAAACATCTGGTAATTCCATGTCACATGGTGGAAATAGCAAATTACGATGGTGGAAATAGGGGTACCCTATAATTATTCATCCTTTTTTTGGTAATTACAATGTTATTATAAGAATAATATTTTTTTTAGAAAATTGGTCTGTAATCGCAGATCCACAACTTCGGTTGTGACATGTGAAATTCGTCAAGTGATCGATTCGAAGTACCCTAGCCAGGTGTCGGATCACGTGATAATAAACAATTCCAACCAATAAAAATTCTGCCCAACCAATAAGAATGTAGCAAATTTTTGATCAACCCGAAAACAAGACAAAAATGCGAAAAATACAAAAAACAAATATCTAAATCTAGCTTGACACATTATCAAAAAATGTCGGGAAGCCAATTTTATATATAATCTTGATCTCAAATCTAATCCTAACTCTAATAATTGATATATAATATTAATCGGATATTTTAATGGACCTATTTCAGATCACATGACCCGACACCTTTTTTTTGCTACTAATCGATTCGCAATTAACGCAGGGATAGGATAAATTCACACGAGAAAAAATGGCAACCATCGAAAAAATCGAACGCGAGTTGCAGGAAGCGAAGAGGGAGCTGGCGAAGGCGGAGAACGAACTGAAGGTATTTAGAGAGAGCTACGGACGGAGGCTGACGGTGTTGGAGAACATGCTGTGGGTGGAAGAAGGAACTGCGCAACAGCGAAACAAGTGGGAGAAGGAAAAGGATGAGTTGAGGGAACAAGAGAAGGAGTGCCGTGACCTGGTGAAGATGTGGAGTGACCTGGTGATAAAGTGGAGTGAGGTGCTAACAGGTACAACTTCGTGACTTAGGCGTTGGGGGACATAGAGTAGAGCGTAACAAGCTAACTTGTGCTTTTCCCCTCTTCAATGCATGCTCACCTATCGGGCAATATTGAAAGGTGTTTCAGGTAAGTTTTGTCATGCAAGATATTGGGAAATTTCCTTACCATCTGCCATTTCAATTCAGGCAAGAGGCGCAAAGTAGAACTGAAGCAGATATTACAAGACCTGAAATTTGGCGAAATCAATCAAGTCGTTCAAAAAGCTGCAACAAATTTGTTTGTGGAACGCGTGGCTGCGTTGGAGGCGGCATATGAAATTCTGTCGATCAACCGTTATGGACGAGAATCGAAACAAAGTCAGGATACCTGTTTCGGGTTATGCTTTGGCGGATGCGGAATTGGAAAGACTGAGTTGGTGACGCAATTCTGTATGAAAATGATTGCGGAGAATGAAGCGACTCTTGTCTTGGATTTGGACAATGAACGTCACGTGTTTAACCGAAATGCATGCAGGGAAGACCAATGGCTTGGGTTATCTCTGGCAGCTGCGTACTGCGGTGGAAAAAGTACAAAGTTGTCTGCATTCATTAACATGCTACGAGATACATATGGCGAAGAGTCGTTAGAATGTTTTAATGAGGCAACTGAGGTGCTTGAATCGGTTGTCAATCATTACCGCAAATGGAAGAACGTGGAGGGGACGATACGCCTTGTGGTATGGAAAGACGACTATCAGATCGAAATGGAGAAATTCTCTGATCCCCAAATCAACATTATTCAAAATATCGGAAGTTACAACAATAGCAGAGCTTTCGAACAAAATGTCGTTCTCGTTCCTATTTTATCTGGAACCTATGGTGGAGATGTAAACAGAACGATTCTCGGAAGCCGCTATTCTGCACGAATTCTATCAACACCACCACTGTCGTTTGATGCTTCAGTCCAAATTTTGGGAATTTCCAAGGATGTCCTTGCGCAATCTTCATTCAAACTCAATATCTTGATATCAGATATTGGTGGAGTGGCACGACTGCTCATGGATTTACGCCGCATGGGCGACTTTTCAACACCTCTCGAAGAGCGGGATGTTGATAAGTTAGGGTCGCTGATGGTCAACAGAGTTTCAGAATGTTATAGCATGGTTGCTCCAAAAGGTATTATGTTTGTCTTCTTAAGTTGCGTCCAAAGCCTATCGACGCTCAGTTAGCATTTACATTTCTAGGACAGCAGGGTATAACGACGCTCCCAAAGTCAGCTCTCAGTGAACTTCTGAGATGCATTATCACGGGAACATCAGTCTCTGAGGGCACTCAACTTCCAGAGACCAAAATCACCTTCCTTGATCTTAATCGTTACGGAATCTTCCATTACAACCTTTTACCAAACGGTCGATTCTTAATAACAATGCCATATATACTTTTGTGGAAGTTTAACAATGAAGTATCAATATTACCGCCTGATCTTCTTACTTTTCCTTGTCGGCAGTGGACCTGGCAAGATTTTGAGAGACTGGAAGCCTATTTGGAGACACTAAGGGCTGGACGTGGTACGACAATCAAAGAGCAATTCCCTTATGCATATGCAAATGCAGATGTTTTGGAGTGTCCAATCGAACCCTGGCAGCAAATGTCCGTTGAACGAGAGACGGTTCAATGCGTCCCGAGAACTGAGAAAGTGATTTGGTCGGACGCACATTTATTGCGCATGCATAGGGATAACGTTCCTATTCTGTCACCAGTGATTTTTCTTTGTCATACCGGGAATCCTGTGATCGATTCTCATTCGTGCCGCAAGTCTGAATCTGGTTATGTGGCGTTACTAAAGCAAACAAAGCATTCCGCGCCGGATTCAAGGGGAAAAGTACATGCATCGGAGCTGATCCGCTGGTATAGTAACGCAGTGGAGAAATTCAGTGACACCAGTATTTTCAAAGCAATGGTGTTTATTTTTTTCACTAACCGTGTTTTGAGCGAGGTAGATCGTAAGAAAGCGCTTGCTCAATGTCCCAACTTGATCATAATCTGCAGAGACAATCTTGAGAAGTATATATCAGGTACCTTTTTATTTAGGGGATTGGTAGACGAGGAGTATAGAAATGTATAGAGTGCATAGTGTAAACTCTAAAAGAAAAGCTTTCTTTGAGATAGAATATCAAAGCTGATCTTCTGCTAAACAAGAACATGAAAGAAGAATTTGGTTAATAATTTTCAGAATTAACTTTATTGTTCGTGATATTCTCTCTTTATTTGAATTTGTTAAGCAAAAAGATTGAAAGAAAACAATATTGGAAAAATAAAATATAAAAATTTATACATAGAATTATAATTACAGGTGTAATTATCTTTTAAACCATCAGATTTAGCAGGCAAATTTGCCTGCTAAAATTTTATCAAAAATTAAAATATTTAAAATTTTATTTTTAATATTAGTTTTAATTTTTTCATTTCAATTGCGAAGTTATATTTCTTGTGTTTGATCTTTTATTTTAATTTCGAAATTATAATTGAATTAATAAACAAAAGATTAATATTTTACTTGTTTATAAATTATGTTTAAAATCACAAACAATATTTAAAAGCACAATTGCATTTGTTTTAAAAGATTTCTGATCTTATTCTAATTAATTACAAAATAAATATATATTACTTTTAAAATATTTTCTCTTTTATTTAAGCTTATTATATATATTTTTTTCTTATTTGACATATTATTATGTGTTCTTTTATAATATATTTCAAAATTATATAAAATAATAATATAACAAAATGAGTTTTGCAATAGTTATTTGAGTGATTTATATTTTCCAGTATTACCAACAAAAATTCATGCTTATTGTTATTCCAATTCTTTTAATAATATTTGTATTGTTACCATTTTGATTGACTTTCAAAATACTCAAAGGTATTTATAAATATTAAAGGAATATTCAAAGAGAACTTTTAATGTCTTAACGATAATTCAAAGTATTAATAATACTTTATGACTATTAGATTGAATGTAAATAAGTACTAAAAGTACTAATGATAAAATCACTTAAAGATTGGTAACAGTTGTATTTTTTTAAACATAATAATCTGAACTGTTAAAAAGAGTTCTCAAAATCTCAGAGTCAAAGTTATAGAGATTATAATATTCGTATTATCAACAATATGAGATTAAAGGTGAATAATATATTATCAGCAAAGATGAGTTTATGAATAATGTATTATTAGCAATATAATCTCAAAGACAGATTTATGAATTATAATAATAATTTCTTTATTTAATATAATATTCAATAGGTTTCATTACAAATATATTCAGATAATCTAGTATTAAGATAATAATTTTTATAGTGCTCCTAATTATCTTGTTTAAGATTAATTCAAGATCTGTATAACACTTATAACAACAGTACTGAAGTGATTATACAAGAAACAAGAATACTTTGTTAAAAAAATGTAGAGAAATATTTACACTTGACTACTTACTTTACATAAAATGCAAACTTTACTCATTTGAATGATTAAAATTACGTGATAACTAGCTATAAGATAATAATACTATTAAAGAACTTGTTCTAACCTAATTCTAATAATTATGATACATGTTACTTTTATATAAATCCAAAATATAATTCATTAACTATATGAATTCATGTTCGCTAGATTACTTAAATTCTATTGGTTTAATATTTACTTATTTATTTACTCATTCGCTTGTTAGTTTACTTGTTTGTTTGTTCATTTACTTGTTTATTTGCTTATTTCACATAATTAAATTCTTTCAATAAGATATAAGATATTTATAATTTAATAATATTAAGTATTGTCAATAATTTAATATAAAAACATGTAAATAAAAAGATGTAATTATGATAAAAATTAGTCATAATGATATTTAGATTACATATTTAGTTTAATAACTTTCTACTTCTTTATATTTCTTTCTATTTTTTTTTCGTATCATTTATCTTTCTATATTTATTTCATTATTATCTTTATTTGAATATATTAATTATATCATTTTCTTGACAAATTTATCATTTTCTATATTAATTTAGTTTCTATTTTCTATTTTTGTTATTGGTACTTTAAAATTATTAATTATAATATAGTTAAATTTTGTATAATTTAAAAGAGAATCAATAATTTTGTAATATTAGTGTAGATTTACTGTGTTATGTGCTATACTATAATTGCACCATATTGTATATTACTATACTATATTATACCACTATAATACAAAAATATATATAAATATAAGTACTAATAATTAATAAAAATAAAGTTTTCCAGTTCTTGTTTAAAGTTCTTAAGTTTTGATTTTAAATTTTTTTTGGTTTAATGTCAAATTTAACATGTTAAATTGATTTTATTTTGAATTTAAAAGAAGTTTTTGGTTAAGTTTTCTTTTAGATTAATCTTGTTATTAGTTTAATTTTATTATTAGCATCTTTATCTTGTCAAGAAATATTATTCTATCATTATAAATATTATTTAATTATAAAATTCAAAATAAATTGCTATGAGTATAGTTATTATTACCATTTTGAAATACTTTCATATGCAAAAGCTCAAAACAGTAATAGTCTTTTTGGTGCTCTCTTTGTAAAGGTGAATTTGAAAAGAAAATTTGAATTTCACACAATCTGAAAGTATAGAAGTAAAATGACAATTCCAATTACTTTTAACTGCACTCAAAATTAATCAAATCATATCAAGCAAAGATTTATAACAAATAAAAACATATATAGCAACACTTTTTGAACAATGTTACCATTTTCATTCGTTTATTAACTTGAAGTATAGATCACGTATTCTTCACATGTCTCAATTAAGGATGCTTGCCTAAATCCTTTCAGAAAAATATCGTCATAATTTTGACAGGTTACACATTAATTGTTAATTAGAA